GGCTGTGAGTCACCATGTGGGTGCTGGGAATTGAACCCTGGTCCTCTCTAACTGCAACAAGTGCTGTTAAGCACTGAGCCCTAAGGACCTGGGAGCTATGCATGCCATCCATTTCTGACTCTAACTGACTCAAATCTGGAGAAAGTCTTTGACATATCCTAAGTTGGTCTAGCTGACAGGGAGGGTCACCAACAGTTATTTAAGTTCCTTTCTCTTCACCCTGTAGCGTGAGGTGCTTTCTGGCACTGGTTTCAGGTGTACTTCATTTGAACAAAGCTGGGTTATTTTCCTTTCTCTTTGATTAGTATATCGCCCAGAGACAGCCATGCCATGGCAGTTTTGTGGACTAGTCTCAATTTTCTGGTTGTCATTCAAGCCCCACTCCCCTCCAATGAATCCAGGCTGATGAGATTTTGCCAGTAGGTGGTCCAATTTTGCTACTCAAAGTATAGTCAATGGACCTAAGAGCTTGCCAAAAATCTAGAAGGTTAAAAGGGCTGGGGAAATAACTGTGCAAATACAAAGACCTGGATTTGATCCCTAGTGCCCCTGTGAAAATCCATTTGTAGTGGATTGTTTGTTATCCCAGGCCTGAAGAGGTAGAGAGAGGTGTTCTGTGACTCACCAGCCACCCTAGGCTACTCTATGAGTCTCAGATCCCTTTGAAAGATTTCAAATCCAAAACCAAAATGGTTGTGGCCTGAGGAATGACAATCAAAATTGACATCTGGCCTCTATATACTGGAATGCAAATGTTCAATGCACCAGTATATACAAGAGCACACACGTGTGCATGTGCACACACACGTACATACCCACATGCATGCACACTTACGCATACACACATGCATTCATCTACATACACGTGCACATGTGCCTACACTCATCATACACATCCATAGGCACAGACTCATGCATACACACACCACACACCACACACACACACACACACACACACACACACACACACACACACAGTATGAGTGCCATCCCAGATGGTTGAAGCAGAGCCTGAATTTTCCTAAGCTCCCCGGGAGACTGTTTCTCTGTTCAAATTTGTGAAGAATGGTTTAGAAACACATGGGCCCACACAGAATGGAGCTTTTATTTTTAGTACCCACCACTAATTGGCAGTTGGGGGAACATCACGGACTGTTTTTCAAGACTGTCTACTTTCCTCATCTATATGATAATGCCTTTAACCTTGACAAAGCACTAGTGACTTGAGAGTCAATAGGCCACAAGATGCCCATGTATCAATGGGAGTTGAAGTCATTCTGTCCCACATGGGAAGACTATGATACACACTTGAGAGGAGACACTTCACTGTCAGAAAAAATTTCATTTGTTTTTGTCTTGGGAGATAAGGGAGGCGGAAATAACTCACTTGGCTTCCATTTCCAATGGGAGAGAGAGATGAGGGATGTTTCCTGCCAACCCTCTCCTCTTTGTCTTTGCAATCTGGTAAGACAAGAAAGATACATTGGTGCTCTCTACAATGGAATGATAATTCAGAAAAGAACTATGTGTACTCAGAAAGGGTTGTTAAATTTATTTCACTACGAGACTAATGCAGAGGGTCTGGTGACATGCCTCAGTGGTTCAGGGTACTAGTGATTGCTCTTGCAGAGGATCTGGGCTAGGTTTCCAGCATCCACATGGGGGCTCACAACTGTCTACAACTCCAGAGGATCTGATGCCCTCTTCTGACCTCGGCTGGCACCTGGCATGTATGCACACGGTGTATATACAGACATGCAGGCAAAGCACTCTTACCCATAAAATAAAATAAATAGATATTAAGAAGATGCTAAAATCCTAATCCAGAGAGGCTTAACTGGCAAAGCCTGAACTCATACAGAGATCAATCAGGTCACGGTACAGCAGTGCCTGGAGAGGGTGACCCAGGGGCGTTACAGCAGGTATCCGGGTTAGAAGGACTCATCTCTCCTCTACTTCATGGTCAGGGGCTGAATTGCCACTCATGTGTAGCTTTGGGCTCCCCTTTATCCTATGTTTCCATTATCACCTGTGTCTGTGGTTGCTAGATTTTCACTTTATGGTCCACAACGACCTAAACACTAGCCGCTAACACCAGTAAAAATGATACAAATCCCCTGTCCAGGCTGTGGACTTGGTTGAGTCACAGACATGTCTCCTGGGTGTCTGGTAACACACTGTACCTCTCCTAGAATAGGACACACTGGAACGCCAATGAGGTATTTTCTTTACTCCCAACGGTACTGTCTGCTCTTTCATTTTCTGTAAGTTTGTGAGTCACCTCAGAATTGTGTTATTAGAGGACTGACATTTCATCTTTCAGGTTCTGGTTTCTGCTGAAGAAGAAGCAGCTAATTGCTGATTTGTTTTCATTTTCCAGTGGTCTTTAACTGGACACGCCAACTCCTTACTGGTGTTGTTCTGGATGGGTTGAAGCAGAAAGTGGTTATCTTTCAGATATTGCAGATGACTTCCAGAGAACCGGGTATTAGCTTTTACACACATATACACACATACATGCACATGTACACACACAAGCTAATTAATACCTACATAACTAACAACCCAAAGTCTAAACTAGGGAAAGAAATGTGTATGTGTGTGTTGTGTGTGTGTGGGGGGTCATGGATGCAGCTTCTGATATTTTTAACATAAACACATATTTTATGCAAATATGTTAAAAGAAAATAAAAAGGACCTGAAAAATAAATCCTATTCATTTTTTTTTAATTTGGAGAACACACTCAGTGCCTTGTCATCCCTGACCTCTAAGGTTTAAGGTTATTTTATCTTTGTGATTCAATATCAGTTGAACCAGATGAATTATTTTTGTTTGTTTGTTTTTGGTTTTTCTGAGACAGGATTTCTCTGTGGCTTTGGAGGCTGTCCTGGAACTAACTCTTGTAGACTAGGCTGGTTTCGAACTCACAGGGATCCACCTGCCTTTGCCCTCCAAGTACTGGATTAAAGGCATGTGTTACCACCGCTCTGCTGGATGAATTATCTTACTACAATTTCATCCTGGCATAATTATGCACATGATATATTAATGGAAAACAAATTGTGTTTTTATTGCTGACTTTAGTAACTACTCTTTGGTGAGTACAAGGCAATTCAATGAAACAATTTTTTATTTAGGTTTTTCATATGTTTGCTTGTTCCTTAAAGTTTGTTCTGCAGATGTTGTTTGTGAAATAAGTACAGTTAGGGGTTTTCAAGTAGAGTACTACCTTCTTGGCTGTGAAAAAGATGTCATAACAGGTGATTTGTCCTTATGTTTGTGACAAGTTCCCAACCCTAATGCTTCACGAGGTGTATGTCTCTGCCTTTGTTTCTGTGAAATACAATCTTCCACATAGCCCAGGCTGACCTTGAAGTTGATATTTTCCGGTCTCTACCTCCCAACTGCTAGGATCACAGTGTCTGCCTCCATTTATTGTTGTTATTTTTTTTAAGACTTTGCCCTGCCTCTAGATTGTCTCTAGAACTTAGCGGTTGTTCTGTGGACACATCACCTGCTATCATAATACCTTGTAAGAGCCTACTTTAGTTTTTATCACTATGGTGACATACTTCATATAGCCTTAGATTTATAGTTCTGTGGCTTGTAGTTTGCTCATATACCTGTGCAGATATCATCACAGCATGGCTAGAGAACATTCTGCCCCACGAAACAAAGCCCTACCCATCACTGGCATTCCTCATTACTGTCTGCATCCTTATCATCCCAGGTGAAAGCTTTCCGTCTCCATGAACTCGCTTGTTCTGAACAGTTCATGTGACAGAATCTGTGGTCTTTTGTGACTGATTTTTCTTTGGTCAGAATCATGATTCCAGGTTTAATCCATGTTGTAATGAGGTGGGTGATTTAGCACTCCATTAAATTGTTGGCTAGTGCTCCAGTGTGTGTACACCACATTCCCTCCACCCACTCACCCACTGATGAAAACTTACTTTCGTTCCCTCCATCCACTCATCATTATGTTCTCCTTTTCCCTCCTGAACAATGCTATTATTAGTAGCTATGTAGAAAGACTCTCTGACACCCCTAAACAAGTGTTCTAGGATGGAATCTTAGTGGTTCCAACTGTCCTACCTGAGTCATGTGCCTATCCCTTAGTAGTCTGCAGGGGTTCATTGCTCTCTAGACTCTGGAGGGCTGAGACCAGATAGGTGGAGTAAAAAGGGGCAGATAGTGTTTGGCAGGATGAGAAATACTGTCTTCTATCACCAGGAAACAGGCAGGCTTCTTCCCCAGAAAACACAGGGAGGCACCAGGGCAGTAGGTGCTGAGACTTTATGGTAAACATTAGCTTACAGGGCTTGCCTATGAGGTAGCTTCTCTTCTTCACAGGTTCAGGAACGTAGAGGAATGCTGTACCTAGATGAATTATCTCTGAACCTCTCAGTTTCTAACTCTAAGGATATGTGGATATGATACTCATCTCAGAGTTGATGTGGAAAGGATTTGCTACTTAAGGAGGTGTGGAAATGAGATGCGTGTGTGAGGAGGAGATGGATTTTTTTTTTTTGGTTTTTCCGAGACAGGGTTTCTCTGTATTGTTTTGGAGGCTATCGGTCCAGCCTGGCCTCGAACTCACAGATATCCGCCTGCCTCTGCCTCCCGAGTGCTGGGATTAAAGGCGTGCGCCACCACTGCCTGGCGAGGAGATGGATTTTAAGGGGTTAGAAGTGAATTGTGTCCCACAAAAATTTGCAGCATTAAAGTCCTATACTGTACCCCCAAACTCTCCATGCAATAGGTCAGCATGTGACCTTACTAGAATAGGTCACAATCATACGTTGATAAATGGTTCATGATCTCTTGAGTAGCCAAGTAGCATGACATGAGTAGCTAGACAACAGAACGCTACCACCTTACTCTTCTAGAGACCAGAAGTCAGAGATGAAGGTGTGGACAGGAATGCTTTAGGATCCTGCTCTCTGATGTTCACTTTTCAGTTTTAACTGGGTTTGTGGATACTGTTTTTTCTAAACAGAAGAAATGAAAGTGTCTGAAGATGATGAGATGGAGAAACTCTACAAATCATTGGAGCAAGCTAGTTTGTCTCCTCTCGGGGACCGTCGACCTTCAACCAAGAAGGAATTGAGAAAGTCTTTTGTGAAGCGGTGCAAAAACCCATCCATCAATGAGAAGCTTCACAAGATCAGAACCTTGAATAGCACATTAAAGGTAAAGTGGTCTCAGATTGTGCTACCTGGGGGGCGGGGCTGGGGGGGCACGCAGAGACAGTCTCAGCCTGGCCTACCTGGGGGGGAGGGGAGGCAGTCTCAGACTGTGAAAGCTGGGAGAGGAAGGGGAGTCAGTCTTAGACTATGCTACCTGTGGAAGGGGAGACAGTCTCAGACTATGCTGGGGGGGGGCCGTCTCAGACTGTGCTGCCTGGGGAGGGGAGAGAAGCAGTCTCAGACTGTGCTGCCTAGAGGCTGGAGGGGAGGCAGACTCTTTGTCTGGCTGGTTGCAGAGAGAGAGATTCATGGCCATCTCAGAGTGTTTGTGTGGGAGGAGGATGGAGCAGAGAAAGTACCGTCTTCTCAGTGGGATGACTATGACCTTTTAAAAGCACCAGGTCCTTCACACAGCAGCGTCCGTCCATAACAGGCTTCAATTCTACGTTGAGTCTGATTCAAAGTCTGAATTCCCAAATCCCAGATGGCAAGGACTGTGTGTGATTTGGTTTGGTAATTTTGTGTCTAGCACAATACTTGGCTCTAAAGGCTTTTAATTGTTGGAGAATTTCATACGTGCATGCAATATATTTTGGTCAAAACCCACGCCCATTCCCTCCCCTTGCCTCTCCCCCACCACTCTTCCCACTCAACTTTGTGTGTTCTTTTTTTATCTCCTGTCTTAAAACCCACCAAGTGTCGTTAGTGCTGCCTGTATGTGCATGGGGTAGGACCATCAACTGCAGCATGGGTAGCCGCTCAGGGCCATGTCCCTGAAGCAAGCTTAACTATCCCTCCTGCCACCTCAGCAATCAACCTTTTCAGCTAGGGGTGGAATGCACGAGCCCCTTCTAGGGCCATGATGGGATCTGGCCTCAGCTTGATCTTGTTGGGGTCTTATGCATAGAGTCCAGTCACTGTTACTTTATGTGTTCACGTCCAGAAAGTACTCTTTCCTTGCAGACACCCACCATCACTGGCTCTTACAAGCGTTTGCTCATTAGCAACAGGTAGCAACCTTTGGCAAAAACAGACAGTAATAGAAATAAGGGTTTCACCTGACTCATTCAAGGGTACTATCCCTGTGTGTTATTAGATCAGGAGAATTCTCTCTCTCTCTCTCTCTCTCTCTCTCTCTCTCTCTCTCTCTCTCTCTCTCTCTCTCTCTCTGTCTCTCTCTCTCTCTCTGTCTCTCTCTCTCTCTGTCTCTGTCTCTCTCTCTCTCTCTCTCTGAAGCTGGGTTTCTCAGTGTTGACCTGGCTGTCCTATGTAGACCATGGTGGCCTTGAACTCAGAGATCCACCTGCCTCTGCCTCCTGAGTGCTGGCATTAAAGGTATGTGCCACCACTACTTGGCCAACAGACTGTTTTCTAATTGTCAGCTGTAGTCACTACAGCTGAGAAGCATGGTGAGGTCCAGGCAACAGGAACACATTCTGTGGCAATAAACCAACAGATGTTGTCACATGGGAATAGAGGACCTTGTGCAGGATGCACTGATGCTATTTTCAGAGCTCCCCCTAACGAAGGATTCCTCACAACAGGGGCATCTTAATTTCACATTTGGACTACAACACCAGCAGGCAGGGCGCTCTGCAGACATCTTAAATTCGCAGAAGATTCATAGGCTCTGAAAAGCCCCACTGGAGTCTGCGATCTAATTCTGAAGTGTGTATTGTCCTTTCATGTTAAAAATCCGAGTCCTTTTCCAGGAAGAAATGTCACCAATCATGAGGACAATACTGAGACAGCTGAGTGGGTACTGGTAATCAGGTGTCCCAGCTAGTCAAGAGAAAAACCAGGCACCACAAAAAGCTGCAACAATAAGGCTGGAAAGGGCAAGGGAAAGAATGGTTCAGTTCTACAAAGAATCCCCAGGTTCAGAGAAATTCTCTAATAGTTAAAGATGAAAAAATATCATTAGCACTCGTTTTGTGGTGTGTTCAGAGCTGATTAATGTGTTGGGTTATTCAGTGTAATATGCCAGAGAAGGTTGAGACTTTACCATCTAGCAGGATGAATGACTTCATTATTGGAGAGCTATTTCCTGAATATTACTGTGTACCAGGCACCATCCTAGGTCACTGTGACCATGGAGTGGGATGCTCAGGACAATGAAGACATAGTGGGTGCAAGCTTTGAGAGCTGTAATAGCCCAGAGGATGGAAGTGACTGAGTGTCTGTCTATGTTTAGCCGACAGCTGGTCCATAAGTAAGAAGTTAGACTATGGGAAAGGTAAGGAAAAGGCCCTCAGGGACATAGAACATCTACTGGAGGACGACCTGTTTTGTTTCAGGTTGGGATAAGGAAAAGGCCCTCAGGGACATAGAACATCTACTGGAGGATGACCTGTTTTGTTTCAAGTTGAGAGTAGCAGGAAGTAGAAGCCAGTGGGGTTATTGATAGTTAATGATATTATAGAGGAAGACTGTGACTCCAGATTCCATAGAGCAACAGACTGAAGATTCTAGGCCTGACAACACCCTGTGCGCTCTGACAAAAGGAACAGAGGCTTTTGCCAGCCTCTCTGGTTTCCTGTGAATTCTTGTTCTTCATAGTTAGGTCATGTAATGAATGACCCCAGTGACTTCTTTTCTCTTAGTAGAGTAGTCCTCACCATTAAGATTCAGGAGTGTCAAGTGAGAAACATTTATTCCATTAGAATTTCTGTGGATCTACTGTCTGGGCATGGCCTGGACACGAGATTCTTCCATTAGCTCTTGTGTGAGTGTGTGAACTCCAGCCTGTTCATTTCTCCACGGCTTCTCAGTCCCCATGGTGGCATTGACAGCATTCAGCACCTTGTATCCTGTGGCTCTGGGCATGCCTGATGCGTGGAGCGGATCTCAGGTTCTTGTCAAGTAGACTCTGTGGGGCAGCTCACAAGTAAGAAGATAGTGATAGTGAGTGACAACCCAGTCCCCACAGCTAAGCCGCCTTCCTTCTGTGATGCTCTGCTGGACAGAAGCAGAGCATCAGGTCAGCCAATAACCCAGAGGAGGATTCCACAGGCAGATGAATCTCAGGAGGCAGGGAATGGCAGGGTTCACCTCAAGGGTCATCTCACACCCAGTCTATTGCTCTCTGCTCTGTAGAAAGTACTCCTTCCATGGTTCACTTAGGCTTCAGAGAAATGCAGTGCTGGAGGCCCATGACCTGTAGCTCACGCTATGTTGCCTAGTGATCCTCAACGGGCAGCAAGCCCCTGTCGTGTGAACAGTGGCTGTGTTGAAAAAATATCAACAAAGGGTAGGTATGCAGCTCTATGGTAGAGTGTGTGCATAGCATGTACACAGGTCTAAGTCCAACCCCACAGTACTGCAAGCCAAACAAAAATGACAACAACAAAATACTACGGCTCCCTTGAACAAGAAGCGAAAATAAGCTGTAACTTATTGACTGGATTATTGTGTGTATGTGTGTGTAGTCATGAGCAAGGCTATCATAATTATTTCTTAGCTATTGAGAAAGGGGAGCTTGTGAGGGGGGCACAGGGCAAGGGCCTTTTCTTGACTTTGGAGTTGGTTATGGAGATGTGTTCACTTTGAGATAATTTCTCATGCACAAAACTTTCCCTTTGTGCAATTTTCTTCACATGGGCTGCATTTGGATGAAATGTTTATTTAGAGATACTTGAAGTCTAGAGTGTGGACACCTAAAGGTGTCAGGTAGGAAAAATGACCTCAGGTTCACACCTGTTGTATTTGACATGACAATTAGCTGTTTAACCAGAGCTAATGCAGTTTAGGGGAGATATAAACATGGGATCATACAGAAGTAGAAGAGATTACAGGAGGCCACCAAGAGTGTGAACACTCAGAGAACATAGGCACGGACAAAGAATGGCACTCTTGAACACTCCAGTGTCAAGAGTTTGACTAATGAGGAACCAGTAAGGTGACTGTCAAGGGACAAGGAAAGTCAAGAGAGTCTCTTAGAGAAACAACTAGGGAGACATGTTCAAGGTTTGACAATGACCAGCAGTTTTAGGTGTGTCGATGAATATGAAGATGGATAATTAACCATTGGATGAGCCAACATGGAGGTTACTGATGAGCATCCCTGGTTTGGTGAAGTGGTGGGGATGAAAGCCCGGTGGACCAGAAGTAAGACTATGAAGCAATGGTCACTGAGGACAAGGCAGAGCGTGGAACCTGACCTAGACAGAGAGAACTTCCAAGGTAGAAGAAATAACATGGCACATGTGTGTCCGTGAGAAGACCCCAGTGGAGATGGGAGACTAATGAGCCAGTGTCCTGATCACGAGAGCAGAAGCCATGGTGCTGGGTGGAGAGGGTAGCCTACGCTCAGAGCACAGACCTTTACCTGCACAAACAGGAAGGAAGGCAGCGTGTGTTCTTGCTGGTGTGGGTAGTGGGCACGAAAAGCTTGAGAGTGCTTTTCTGGTCGCTTTCATTTCTTCCAAAAATGCAGAACAAGGTTATCAGCAATGAGTGATGATGACAAGGAGGTTTGAAATACAATAAGAAGGGCTTTCTTCTTTTCTGATTTTTGTATGTGCATATACACGTGTGTGTGAACATGTTTGTGTGTCTGAGTGTGGGCATGTATGTACAACAGTGCCTATGCAGAGGTCAGAGAACCTGTTTGAGACAGGTCTCTGCTCATTTTTGTCTCTTCCGGCTAGCTGGCCTGCTGGCTTCCAGGGACTCTCCTGCCTCTGCTCCCCGTCTCACTCTAGGAACACAAGCATCATGGTTACACGCTCCCATGTCTGGCTCTATATGGGTCTCAGGGTCCAAACTCAGGTCTTTATCCTTCTGTGGCTGGTATGCAGCTCTTTACACGCTGAGCCTTCTTCCAACCTGAGGGAGTTTCCAATAGTCATTTGGAGAGGCGGAGAGAGAAAAAGGAGGAGTGTGATTACTGGATGACTCTTGGTGACTGTCCTTTCAACCCTTCTCTCCTTGGAGATTAGTAATAGAGGCATGGAGGACAGCTTTATTAATATTAACACCTATTAATTAATGCCGCATGATCCTATGTGATATCCTTCACATCTACACATTATACATTCACCATGGACGTCCACCTTTCTGCTCTTGTTACCTGGTTGCCCCTCCCTCCTAACAGCCTTCCCAATCCTTAGAAATTGCTCTTTTACTCTCATGTTGGTTTCTTACAGAATTTTACATATGATGGAGAGCATGGGATGTTTGTGTTTATTTGCTTTGTTTTCATTTAGCCCAATACCTTCTAGTTCTGTGCCTTGAACGACAGTATTCCCTTCTTCTTCATGGCTGTATGTAAAACCTGTAGTCAGGTTTTAAACAAGTATGATAAGAATGTACACTGTCAGTCATTCTCTCAGGCATGGGGGGCCAGTGGCCCTTCAGACAAACCTGTCAGTCATCACGGGCTTTCAGTTCAGAAGGGGGAGACAAAAGTGTAACCCCCTGACATTTTGGGGTGAGAATGATGGTTGATGGTCGTGAACTTGAGTTGAGAGCAGCGAGTATGACTGTGAGTGACATTTGAGCTGTGCATATGCTTGCATGGGGGTGGCAGAGATGGGTAAGATGGTAAATAGGTTCTTACTGTCCACATGGTACTTGGCATTGTGTTATGAACCAAGAATTTAAGGAGGGAGGAAATGTGTTTTCATCATCTTCTTTAGTCTTAGGTTAATTAATTAACCAAGTGTGTGTGTGTGTGTGTGTGTGTGTGTGTGTGTGTGTGTTGCATGCATGTGGGTCGCTCATGCGTACTCATGTGGAAGCCAGAAGTGACATGTCTTTCTCTATCAGTTTATGCCTTGTTGCCCTCAGGCAGGGCCACTCACTGAATGAGAAGGGGCCTTTCCGGGAGGCTGACTGTACCAGGAGCCCTCCAGATCCACCTGTCTCTGCAATTCTGAGATTACAGGCACATGCCACTATCCTGACCTTTTATGTAGGTGCTGCTGGTTCAGACTCAGATTGCCTTAGTCAGGGTGACTATTGCTGAGATGAAACACCCTGACCTAAAAGCAACTTGGGGAGGAAAAGGTTTATGTGGCTCACACGTCCACACCCCTGTTCATCACTAAGGAAGTCAGGATAGGAACTCAAACACGGCAGGAACCTAGAGGCAGGAGCCGATGCAGAGGCCACGGAGGAGTACTGCTTACTGGCTTGCTCAGTTTGTTTTCTTACAGAACCCGGGTGTGGCCCCATCCACAATGGATTGGGCCCTCCAACATTAGTCGCTAAATAAGAAAATGCCCTATGAATTTGCCTAAGTCTGATATTCTGGAAGCAAGTTATTGATTGAGGCTCCCTTCTTTTCTGATAAATTTAGTTTGTGTCAAATTGAAATAAAATTAGCCAGTGCACAAACCCTCAAGATTGCACAGCAAGGTGCCGTTACCCACAGATCTGTCTCTCCAGCCCCTTTTGAGCATTGGGGGTCAGATGTCAAAGTAGACTACAGGGAATTCTAGGCTCTGCACCGGATGGCACGAGAGCATGAAAATAAGACAAGACAGTTCAAGTTGTTCAAGTTGGGGGCTCACAGTTTTCTACCGGACATCATAGCTGGCAGGAAGCATAAGTTAAGGGAGGTGCTCCAGGTAGCTCAGCATTTTGGAGGTGTAAACCAGCATTGTGTGTGCGTGAAAACTTGGGTCAGTACTATTCTACCAGGAAGCAGCATGCAGCTGAGGTTCTCGAGAGCCTTGCATGGCCAGGGAAGCCATGAAGAAGGCTCAGCACAGAGGAGGGTTCCAGTATTTCCATACAGACCGTGGCTCTAAAGTAGAGGACCAGAGGTGAGCGCCTCCTGGCGGGCTGGGGCAGCACTGCACCAGGGCGACTCACCGGACTGCACAAACCCAGTTAGCACCATGATTCCAGAGACGGAGAAGAGTCATGTGTGGCGAAATCATTCTAAGAGTGCACGGTTAGATCTAGGCCTCTGCTCAGGCTGCTTCTTAGAGATCCCGACAGACACTCTACTCGGTCGTTGCAAGGCCTTTGCTAACAGACAGGATTTCTCGCCTGGGAAGTGAATTAATACCGAATCTGGTACTGGCCACGCACATGCTCTTCCCCGCCCCTCCACTGCCTCCCGCCTCCTGCTGAGACCTCCTCCATCCTCAAAGAGCTGTAAAAAGAGAGGAGCGCCACTTCTCTCACGCGGGCTCTGGTTCTCTACAGAGAACCCTCCAAACTGTCTCTCTGGTACGGCCAGATTCCCTGCCATGCAGTTGCTCGTCCGTCCGTCCGTCCGTCCGTCCGTCCGTCTGTCTGTCTATGGTGTTACAAGTCTCCTAATAAACTCCTTAGTCCCTAGAAACCTGTCTCAGTGTCACCTTGAAACAAACACCCAGTCCCAGACCAAACCCAACAATTGTCAGAGCAGAGTGATCCACTTTTTTAGATCCTGACGACACTTTTACTCTATTCTTTCACTTAAATGTGAATAGATGACTGACTGTCAGTGGAGCTGAGGAAGCAGCGTTGATAGGTTATCTTATACTGGCACACACGCTGTTCTGCTGGAAGGTAGGAATCTCATCTTTGAATAAAAGGGGAAACCATAGTTTTCATATATAAATACGTATGTTAATAGAATATGACTTAGCTAAAATCATTTAAAAAATCTACGAAATTTAAGAAGATGTTTTGTTACCTTATGCCTTAGGTAAAGCACTATGTTCCAGTTTTACTTAGTGGAGTTCGGACGTTCAATGAGGTGCCCGCGTGTAGAGCTAACCAAGCTTCAGGGTGGGCAGCGACACACTGTGATCGAGTCACCCTGCTGTGTGGGGTCTTAGTCGGGTCAAGGGGCCAGCACAGAAGACACTCTGTTCCTTCACTAGTGTGTGGGGGGGTGAATATACACAGCTTCTTAGTGGCTTCCACATGTGAGGGGATATTGTGCCGGACCTCAGGCATGTGGAGAGATTAGAATGTTAATGTGCAAAACCACTTCTGTCCTGTTGCGGTGGATGGGTCCGTGTGTCTGCGAAAGGGCTGAGGAAGTTGACTCACAGGAGTTCAGATCCTCATGTACTCATGATGCCCTTCCTTCCTGTTTTCTTTTTTTTTAATTTTTTTATTTAAGTTAGAAACAAGCTTGTTTCACATGGCAATCCCAGCTCCCTCTTCCTCCTCTCCTCCTCCTCCCCCCCTCCTCCCCCGCTTTCCCACCTGGTCCCCCAGTCCCCCACCCAGTCTCTACTCTGATCCCCAGGGAGGGTGAGGCCCTCCATGGTGGATCTCCAGTGACTGTCATTTCATCCAGGGCGGGGCCTAGGCCCTCCCCCCAAGAGTCCAGGCTGAGACAGCATCCCATAAATACTACCCAAGGTCCCATATATTACCTAGGCCTCCTCACTGACACCCACATTCAGGGGGTCTGGGTCAGTCCCATGTTTTCCACACAGCCATCAATCTGGGGTCCAAGAGCTTCCCCTTGTTCAGGTCAACTGTTTCTGTGGGTTAAACCAGCCCAGGTAAACTCCTTTGCCCATCAGTTCTCCCTTTCTGACACTGGTTTTCTTCTTGGCCAGTGCAAAGAACATGATCTGGCCATGATCAACCAGCTGCTGGATGACCCTAAGCTGACAGCCAGGAAGTACAGACAGTGGAAGGTCATGAACACACTGCTGATCCAGGACATCTATCACCCGCAGCAGGTACCTCAGGACCCTGAAGTCACCACCCAGGAACCCAAGAACCCCAGCTCTTCTGACTGTGTTGAAAATTCTCTTTGAGCAGAAGCCAGGACTGCTCCCTTCCTTGTGACTGTGACGTTCTACAAGACGCTGCCAGGGCATGCATTTTGCTTACAAGGAAACCCCAAACCCAGTTCCTGAGCTTCATCCCTCCCTGCTAAGGACGAAACCAAGGCCATGCCAGTTCTGATGCGATGGAAGCCCTGGCTTCCATGTGTTGCATCCATCAATATTGGAGTTACGGAGTTCATTTGAGCATGTGTATCTTCTGTACTCCCACTAGGAGCAGGTAGGAATGCTAGGCTCTAGGTGGGATATGAAAGGGTAACTCCTCCTTTGCTTTCAAGAGAATTACCATCTACCATAGACAGAAGTCCTGACTTTACTAGGGATAATAATTCATAGGAACATTTCCATTTTGCAAAAGAAACATATAGAATCCCCTTTGGTGGACGGCAGAGTTCTGTAAAACATTTCAAGTGGAAGCATTCCTCCTGCAGTAGCTTCTGGAGCTGGACATGTGTTGGCAATTGTGGGACACAAGGCTCTCCTTGCCTTTGGTACAGAGAGCGGTGCCTTTTTGACTCGCTGAGCACTTATTTGAAGAGTTTGGCTTAGTGGAGTGGAAAGTGGGGAGTCCAGGGAGAAGGCATGCTTTCTGTTCCACTCAGAGGACATCTTCTTATGTTCACGCTTTGCCTGGGGTGGGGGATCCGATTAAGGTGGCCCTTCCTCACAATGTCTAGGAGAGACTATGCACGACAGTTGGAGACCTTTGTCTTCCACACCCAGCCTCTCTGAACAGTGGTAGCAGATAGTAATCCCCATTGCAAGGAATGGTATACTGTGTTCATCCTTGTCAGTGGTGCCTAACCCAGTATGAATTTATATCCAGTTTTCTCGGGATCCAAATTCTCATGGTTATTTATGAATTGCTCTGAACTTGGAAAAGAACCTAGACCAACAAAACAGTTAAACAGGATTGTTTTATTTTTGTACGTTTAATGTATCAAATAGTGTGAAATGTGAATAGCTATCTATGTTTCTTATTTAAATGTATTTATAGAAGTCAAATTATAGTGTTTTGAAAGACAGTGTACTATTGTGTTGTTCAATATATATATACATATATTCTAGAAGCATATCATTTTTGCTTGAGAATTATAGTCATACTAGTGACTTACTGAAGTTGTGTTGCACTATAGTATGTGAGGAATGCTCAGGAAATCCCATGAAAAACCTATGGGAGCATGTATTGATAATTATTCATTTTCTGAATGCTTTCCTTCTATTCCTGACTCTCCCCTCCAGCTCCAGAGCTCTTAAATTTCAATGCCTACTATACATCATTTCCTTAACTTGAACCTTATTTCTACTCACGAAGTTTAAAGTTTATGACATTTATGCTATAAATTGTAGACCCAAAGGAACACATCTCATGAAATCTTGGACCAAATGAAATATAAGCAATATAATTCCCAAATAATCTCATAGAGAAACAATATATTAGTCACAATGATATTGTCTCATAATAAAAATAACCATTATTTGAGTCAAGTCCATTTTCTGGGATATAAATAAACTACAAAAAATAACTGCAAATTGCTAAGAACCCTTTGCATGTTGCTGACATAAACACTCGTTCCGTAGCATCAAATGTGGTTTGACAAATTCAAAGAGAAGTAGCTACCTGATCTACATCTACACAGTAAATGTAATGTCTTGTATTTCCCTGTACTTTACCAAGATGTTTTGTTCACTGAAATGAAAAGAAAATAATCCTTGCCACAAGAAAGGGAAAGTTAACCAAGAAGCAAGAGGAACCAGAAGATTCTAGTTGAGGGGCCAGGTCTCAAGATGAGCCGGGAAAGGACACGCTGTCTCCTCCATCTGGGCAGCACGCAGTTCGAGGGGCTGATGCCTCAACCTCAGGACCCACAGTGTAAGGAAACACCAAAGGAAGGTGAATTAGCATTGGGGCAAATCTTAGCCCTGGGGAAAAAAATCTTCATCCCCTTCTTTATTTGCGACATCAATCTACACGTTTCCGTCACCCTCCTGCCCCACGACGCCCCTGCCCCACGACGCCCCTGCCCCAAACACTTTTTATCTGGCCTTATTGCTGTATTTACGTGTTTTATTTAGGCTTCTCATTAATATGTGTTCAACTGACCTTCGGATGTAAATTCCTTCAGTGACATTCAGGTCTAATGGCAACATTAGTCCATGAAATCCCTTGGCCAATCTGTAGGGTGATTTTTTTCCATTTATTCCCATCTATTAAAGACACTAGTTGTTTCTACTCTGAGAATGTCAGAGCTGGGGAAAGCAGTATCTTTAAAGAGATGGAAAACATTTATTTTCTTATGTTTTTTTTCCTTTTGAGCTCTGTTATGTAAGATACAAGAGAGTTAGTGGTTAGGAGTGAATTCCCTTGTTCTCAGTTCTTAATTACATCTCACGTGATTATAATGATGTTTATTTCCTCAGGGAGACTTCAGATCATATCGTCATAGAGATGAAACAAATTAAAAGAAAAATATTTTTAAGTCTTCTGAGGAGAGGCACTCTACCAGTAAAAGCCATATTTAATCTTATGGACACAGACTTCTTTGTAAAAAAGAAAGACAATATTTTGATATAGTAATACAAATAATTTAGGTACAGAGAGAGGGTGACTGTCCAAATGTCACATTATGTTGAGGAGCTGCTGTGTCCAAATGCAGTTTTAGAATGTATTTCTGTTTCCAGCAAACAGAATGGGCTGTATGAAGGAGATTTCCAGTTTATTTCCTTTCAAATACTTTTTTATACTCACCCACAAGAGAAATTCAGTCCTAGATGTAGGGGGTGACTGCCTGCCTAAGGTTTTGTCACACATAATAGTAAAAGCCCCTTTTACTAGATTTTATTCCAGTCTCTGTAAAATGGGCAGGGGAGGGGATGTTCCATTCACAGAAAGCCAAGTGTCTCAGCCACACCATGCCACGTGGAGCACATTAAAATGGATTGTGCATTAAAAAAAGGTTTTCCATATCTCCTGTTGTAAAGAAACTTAATTGCTTTGTACTGATGTCTCTTTAGCTTTAGTCCAAAGGGAAGCATACCCCGGGGAGACATTTAACATCCTGTAATAAAAACCATGGTTTATGTCACCACATGCTCTGATACCTGCATGGTGGGGATGGGGTTCAACAGTGCATGGTATCGAGACAAGATGTTAACGTGGGGTTGATATCTTAACTGTCATTGTGCTTTTGGTCTTTGTCACCTGTCTGTTTTGACTAAACTGAAAACACGAGGCATGCCTCATTTCTCCTGTGCCCCGTTCCCTGGATAACTTGTAAGATAACGATAAAAATGAACTGTCTAGTAAAATGGTATGAAAAAATAATATTCAAAATACACTACTGGTGTTTATTTTCTGCCTTGTATTATTTCTTCCTTTTTGAAGACTGAAATAAACAAACCCAAATCAAGTAGACAAACTAACAACAGAGCAAAAAACCGCTACCCTGTAGCTGGGTTTTGAGCTTCAACAAAGGTTATTGCGCCCTCTGGTGGCCAAGATAAAGATAACAGATTCCAGAGTTGAGGTGATTTTAAAATGAAAATGTTATGCTGGGGACCTTTTTTTCTACACAAACCTTTGCCGTCTTTGTCAATGCCTTTCATTTTGCAGGCAGATTAGTACAATTATTTAAAAATTTGTCATTGGTCCACAAAATCTGACTTGTCTATTCGATCACATAACATTATTGGCCATCTACACTGTCTAGAGAAATTTTAAAATGCAGATTTAAAAGAGTTACAAGCTTATTAAAATACAAACAAAGATTATAGCAAAAATAGGAGAATAGATTGCTTTCTGCCTGCCCCCACCGACCACAGGAAGCAGGCCTGCATTTAGACCTGTTTCACACATCCCGGGTTGCGGTGTCCACAGATGGCGTAGTTTCCTGTTTCCCTTCCTCTCCCACAGTTCCCTCCTTTTCAGTCTAGCACCGTTCCCCTTCAGCTCCATCCTGTCTTCAGGTATTTCTGAGCACCCCTGCCCCCACCCAACCAGAAGCAGTAACGCTATTTTGGGCCGAAAGGATCGAGGCTGGGGATGGAGTTCAAAGGTAGGTTGCTTGCCCAGCATTCGTGAGGGCCTGGGTTTGACTCCTTGGGCTGCTTAGAGTGGGCATGGGGATGTACTCACATGGTGATGGGAAGACCATGAGTTCAGTGTTACCCTCTGGGTCGGATTGCAGCCTGGACTACACAAGACCCGGTCTCCCCAAAAAGACAAAAAAAGGTATTAGCAAAAGGCATAGGAAAAGGATTAGCAAATGGCATAAGTGCGCTGCTTCTTCTAGAACAACCTCTGGGTTTCCAAGTGCTGCTGTAGCAGATTATTAGCATCAACAGATCACGAACGTTTGTCACCTCACGGTTCTGAGGTTGGGAAGCTACCTCGGGGGTTCCCCGTCTAAGGTCAGGCACGTTTTGTGGAGGCTGGGAGGAGTTATTCCCTACAGCTCTCAGAAGTCACCGTGTCCCTCGCCTTTGTCTGCTCCCCCTGTCTTCCTAGTCAGTGGTGTCTTATTTCTTTGTGCCTTTTGAATGACATCTTCCTCAGGCTGATTTTTCCCAGTAGACTTGCGGTCCTGATGGATCTTTAGGAATAACCTAGGCCACCCTGTCTGAAGATCCTTTGATTTACACTTCTAACATTCATCTGTCTTCCGTTCTCCCGCACAGCCTGCTCACAGGTTCCAGTTTTTGGCGTTTGCCACAAATGTTCGTTTCAAATATCTTGTGGGGTGCCCCCGTAGACCATTGACATCTGCCAGAAAGTCTGGGCTTTCAAAGCTGTAGCAAGCTTGAAAGTCCATCCAAGTGTGTTCCTGGCTGGGAATACCCCTTCCTTTTTTTTTTTTTTTAACCATCACAGGTATACAGACACAAAGGCAGCCACAGCTGTTGAGTAGCCACATCAGCTGTTCACAGTGTCTGCCTGCAAGGACAGGAAGGCCGGCGCTGTTGGTGTTTGACAGACTCTAGTGGTGGGTAGCGGCTGAGTGCATGCAGTTAGGTTGTTTGGCAGTCTCCAAAGAAACAGTCGGAGGGCAGGAAGAGAGGGAAAAGCCAGACTCAGGACTAAACTGGAAACTTGACAGAATTTCAAAGAAGACAAAAGATTCTGAGAGAAAGAACATGAGCCTACAACTTGAGGTGGGGATGCCTGAGGTGTTCGGAAGCAGCAGACTGTATGAAGTTCTTGCCCCCTTGGTGGTAGGTGGAAGCCCCCAGCCCCTCACATCTGATGGCTTCTCAGATTAAATGTTCATATGAGGCAATGCAGTCTTCTCCAGTGACAAGGCGGCAAGGAGCTACCTACTAGACCCTCCGAAAAGCTTCTTGGCTGTTGCTGGAGGTTGGAGCTATCACTAGAGGTTGCCACGGAGCATATGTATGCGCTGTTTAGTAGCAATGCGGATGATAGGATCCTAGGAGAGGAGACCAGATGGCCACACTTAACAGTCGAAGCAATTGAGTCAGAATTACTGTAATGGCAACCAGGTCTGGAAACAATAGTCAGGGTCAAGGTTGTCATCAATTGTGGTATTGGGAAATTGCCAGTACAATAGGATATGGGAAGATACAAGGGGCTCTAGCCATCAGGTTGATAATGTAGAGACTAAGGTTAGATACCTAACTTTAGAGAATGAGAATTAAGTGCTGTGAAGATTCAGGGGCCCATTAATTATGTGAAACATCAGGGTCCAGTGAGACGGGGCAAGCCGGGCTCTGTCTCTCAAAGGGCAAATTACTGCACCTTGCATTTCCGCCAGTAAGAGTGAAGCACAGTGCTTGGTGAAGCCTGCCCAAGCCCTCCAGGGAACGCATTCTACACCGGAGAGCTTTCTGACTCCCTTAATTGTGGTATGAAAAGATTCCACTTCTGAACGAGCACGGACTGTGTGGCAGGAGCCAGTGGTGCACGTCTCAGATTGTCTAGTAGGAGAGACGCACATAGTACAGGAAGCCACAGTGTGGACTCCCTGGAAGTCAGCCTTACAAGGAGGGCTACCGCACAGACAGCAAAGGTTCTGGAGTGAGACGACATCATCAAGAAAGAAAGGGCAGCCGCTAAAACGTGTCTCTGGCGTGTTACTTAGCCTTGGTAGGGTGTCCAGGCAGGGGCGTCGGTAACTTTGCAGCCAGAATTCTCAAGATCTAGGCACTGCTTGCAGCAATTTGAGGTAGCCCAGATGCAATCCATTACAAAGTGGAAATGGTCCATTCAATATTGGCTTAAGTACCTAAGGGGGCACAAAGAAAATGGGTGACCAGGTGGCCCAGGCACCTCTGTCAGGTATCACACTCCCTTCTGCACACTTACTTAAGACTCACTTTACATGTTTGACGTCATGGGGCATTTCTCTGTAGGAGTAATTTCTGGTCAGGACTGCCAGCCCACAAACGATGACATGGGGTCTTCTTATTAATTATGAAAGCTTGGCATCTAGCTTACACTTATTTCCAACTAGCTCTTATAACTTAACGAACCCATATTTTTTTTAAATCTACATTCTGCCATGTGGCTTGGTTGCTTCTGCTCAGTACGGAACACCCGACTTGCTCCGAGTCTGCTGGCAAATCCCCACCATTCTTCTTCCCATAGTTCTCTCTTTCCCTGGAAGTCCTGCCTGTCTAGCTACTGGTCATTCAACTCTATTAGACCAGTAACAGTGACATATCTATGTACAGTGTAAACAAATATTCTGCAACATTTCTCATTGTTTGACAGAGGAAGAAAATGCTGAAGCTGAATTCTCTAATGGTTGACTTGCTATGCAATGGATGAGTATTGCCTTATAGTCTTATCTATGGGTGACACTGTAGAAGAAAAGCTCTCCTGGGGGAATAGAGCCTTGTATACCACACCTGACCATCCATTTTGTGTGGAGAGAGAAGTAGCCAAAGGCACACCAGTGTACTAAGGGGAAAGAGAAAAGCATGAATCCGTGTCAGTAGTACCATGTGCTAAGACCCAATCCTTGTCTTTTGATTTTAATACCTGCCAGACAGTGTGCATTCTAGGAGACGCACTGAGCAGTCAAGTGCTCAGAAGTCAGCCAAGGAATGTCTCCTAGTTTTTGTAGGTGATTACCTCAGGGCTTCTGCATCATGCTCATGAGCAGAGGAGCCTCAGCTGCAGAGACAGAAGCTACCGTGCATGTCCCCAAGCATGTTCGTGCTAGCATGCTAGCTAGGGGTGAAAACTATTATAGCCGCTGAACCTTGTCTGCAAGCAACAATTACAAAACATCCAAGTTCCAATAATGTATTTTATTCCGGGAAAACCAATCCGTCATTTGCCCCAAGTTGATTAGAATGGCATCTTTTATCTAAGAAAAGGCAGGATTTTACCCAACAAGTAGAATCCCACCTATGTCTAAGTCCTTCCTTTGCATAGTGCCTCAGTCAACATTACTGTTCAAGGGCTTACAGACCATCTGGTCCACACACGGGACTCCACACAGTGTCAGTTTGGACGACATCCCTGAGTATAGCAAGAATGTGGGGCACAGAGCAATGTCTGTGAGAACCAAGCACGTTCTGCTCTGCTCTGCTCTGCTCTGCTCTGCTCTATTCTGCAGTTTCTGGTCTAGAAAAAACCTGGCAAAGGTCTCACTGCAGCTGAAGGAACTTTCATTGGACGATCCCTGATGCTGATGAAGGCCCATCCTTCAAGCAATAGACTTTATTTTTAAAATTGTTAGTTACATTTATTTCCTTCCTTCTTATGTGTTTGTGCATGCTTGTTCAAGTGGTGTGGGTGTGCAAAAATGTTTGTGTTGAGGTCAGAGGTCAGCCCTGGATATCTGCTTTGTTTCTTTGAGAGTGTCTTTCATTGGCTCAGAACTCACTGATCTGGCTAGGCTGCCTAGTCAGTAAGTCCCAAGGATCTACCTATGTCTGCCTCTCTAGCTATGGAATTTCAAGCATGGGCAGCCACACCTGGATCTTTACTTGTGGGTAGTTGGGATTAAACTCAGGTCCTCATGCTCACACAGAAAGCAGTTTGCCAACTGTACTGCCTCTTCAGCCCCAAATACAGTGCATTTAAAAAGTGGCCACCATTGGCTATCCTGTTCACGGAAGACTGAGTTGCACAGTTCAGGGGACTGAGAGGTGAACATAGGATAGGCTCAGTTTGTTTGCCATCACCCTGCAGAATCCACTTAAGGATTTATGGTTTCTCTCCCCCAAAATTTAGACTCTGTGAACTCATAGATCCTGCTTCTACCAAAGGGTACAGTGAGAATCTAGATTAATCTAGAGTGAAGCCTACTAACTGGGCATTTTGGGTTCTTCAAACTAGGAGAACAGGAGGCGTCA